GCATCGTTTTAAGTTTTTTTTTATGATGCATAAATAACAGCACACATAAGATTGTAAACAACTTGAAAGTCGCCGAAAATCAAATGTGTTTTAGAGGGTATTATTATTTTGTCACGAAATGTGTAACGCGATGGAGGGGACATCTTGGATACAGTCTATTCATTCTTGATCATGCTATTGATGTTACTAATCAATCAAGTCCATCAGCTGTAAAGCATGTGGTTTTGTTGCAGACGATACATATATCGGGATAAGCTGAATCGGACCTCTATATCATAAAGGTGTCATGGTCAGTCGAAAAACAAGTGATTGTAAGAAAAACCCTTGTAGAGGGTAATTTGAATATGTTACAAAATCTGTAATGCGTTAAAGTAGACATCTCAGACGCCATAAAGTATATATGTTCCAGATTATCATAAGCAACCCATTTGATTTAGTCATGTTCGTAAGTCCGTTTGTCAGTTTCTATGGGAGCTTCGAGCTGTCGAGCTTTACAATTCTCCTCAGATGGGTATTTGTTCTTCGATGTGCCTTAGATTTTTATTTTTATTTATTCACTCATAATTTTATAAACAATTTGAGAGTCGACGAGAATTACATTTTTTTTAATTGTTGCTCTTGCTCTCCTTGTCCAATTTATAAAAATTAAAAATCTCTTATTTACTATCAACAACATTTGCGCCTTTTGTCGCTTTATGTGTCGACTACTTAAAATTAATGATCCGTCGTGTCACCTCTATATACTTCCACATGTACATAATTATTTTAGAAAATATATTTGGGAATATATTTCATATATACTTAACATAGCATGCATACATCATTTCTTACTTTTCTTGAGTATATGTTTTATAAATACAATTCCCGTATATTAAAATATTTATTAATATAAATTTTGGCACGTGCCGTTGTCTGTCCAAGCCCCGAAAAATTCCTCCAGTTCGTTGGGTAAAAAATGCACATTAAATCGGGGGCATTTGATTTCTGGATAGATAAATATATAAGTATATATATATATATATATATCTGTTTATAAAGATGTCTCTTGTACATAAGTGGCTACAAACTAGAAAAAGACTGTCCTATATTTGACCTCAAAAAACATCCGGGACTGATATTTTGTTTTCGTTTTTTTTTTTATTTTGTTTTGTGACTGCGTGGGAAAGTATAAAACTAATTGTAGGCGTTGAGGAAAATTTCTTAAGAAAGTCAAAAGATTACTGTGCAATCAGTTCGTGCGGAGCAGTCGTTGTGTTGAGAAGTGTTTCCAATTATTTTCAAAGTTTTGCGCAAGGATTATAAAAAGGACCTACAGAAAAAATACACACAGTGGCCAAAATAAGTAGTATGTCATATATATCTTAGATTAATATATATATCTAACACAATTCTTTCGCTGAATTAAAATTTCTTCCTTACAAAGAAATACCAATACAAATAAAATACCAATATCCTTTTTAAAAAATACTTTAGGTATTTGAAAATAAGTTTGTTTTGAAAAACATTTTTCTCAAATTTCCAGTTCCGAGTGCAAAAATAATGCTCAAAAACATTTGTTGCCATTAATTATCATAAGATCGCACAAGTTTCAAAAATATATTTTTATGCTTTTGCAAACCAAAATAGATTTATTCAATAAAAATTGTCACGCAAGCTCGCACATAAAACTGAAATTATGATTTCGCTTCAGCATATTGACGAAGATATTTTCGTACCACCTACACAAACTGTGGATTTTCCATATGTAGAAATACACATTTTTAGCCACACCTTTCTTTGTGGTTTTGAGGTTATGTTAAGTGTTAAGATCAAGAGCGATTAATTAAAAAAAAAAAAAAACAATTTTTCTTTACAGCTGAAGTCAAAATGCCAAGTGGTAAGGTAGATAAACCTGTTATTCAGGATAACCGTGATGGTACCGTCTCCGTGAAGTATGATCCACGCGAGGAGGGCTCCCACGAGCTGGTTGTTAAATACAATGGCGAACCCGTGCAAGGTTAGTAAAAATTGTAAAAAAATTGTTGAAAATTCAATCAATAAGTCGTTTGCTCATACCCATTCCTTGCTTTGGCAGGCTCTCCATTCAGATTCCATGTGGACTCTATAACATCCGGCTATGTGACCGCCTATGGACCGGGCTTGACGCACGGCGTCACTGGCGAGCCAGCCAACTTTACCATCTCCACCAAGGGTGCCAGCGCCGGTGGCCTGACCATGGCCGTTGAAGGACCCAGCAAGGCAGACGTAGGTTTTAATTAAAATTGTATCTATCTGCAGCTCTTATAAATTTGAACATCTTTCAGATCAACTATCATGACAACAAAGACGGCACCGTTTCGGTGCAATATCTGCCCACTGCACCGGGCGAGTACCAGGTTTCGGTGCGTTTCGGTGATAAGCATATCAAGGGCTCACCCTATTTCGCCAAGATAACGGGCGAAGGTCGCAAACGTAATCAGATATCGGTTGGCTCCTGCTCGGAGGTGACCATGCCCGGCGACATTACCGACGATGATCTGCGCGCTCTAAATGCCTCCATTCAGGCACCCAGCGGCCTGGAGGAGCCGTGCTTCCTCAAGCGCATGCCCACCGGCAACATTGGTATTTCGTTTACGCCACGTGAAATTGGCGAGCATCTGGTGTCAGTGAAGCGTCTGGGCAAGCACATCAACAACTCCCCCTTCAAGGTCACCGTCTGCGAGCGCGAAGTGGGTGATGCAAAGAAGGTGAAGGTCAGCGGTAACGGCCTCAAGGAGGGACAGACGCACAGCGACAACATTTTCTCCGTTGACACACGCAATGCCGGCTTTGGTGGTCTCTCTGTGTCCATCGAGGGTCCCAGCAAGGCGGAGATTCAGTGCACCGACAAGGATGACGGCACACTAAACATCTCCTACAAGCCCACTGAGCCCGGCTACTACATTGTCAATCTTAAGTTTGCTGATCATCATGTGGAGGGCTCGCCCTTCACCGTCAAGGTCGCCGGCGAAGGCAGCAACCGGAAGCGCGAGAAGATTCAGCGCGAACGTGATGCAGTGCCCATCACCGAAATTGGCAGCCAGTGCAAGCTGACTTTCAAAATGCCCGGCATCACGTCCTTCGATCTGGCCGCCTGCGTCACCTCGCCCAGCAATGTCACCGAGGATGCTGAGATCCAAGAAGTTGAGGATGGTCTCTACTCTGTGCACTTTGTGCCCAAGGAACTGGGCGTGCACACCGTTTCGGTGCGCTACTCTGAGATGCACATACCCGGCTCACCCTTCCAGTTCACGGTGGGTCCACTACGTGATTCGGGCAGCCATTTGGTAAAGGCTGGCGGCTCCGGTCTAGAACGCGGCGTTGTCGGTGAGGCAGCCGAATTTAATGTGTGGACACGTGAAGCTGGTGGCGGTTCGCTGGCCATTTCGGTGGAGGGTCCCAGCAAGGCAGACATTGAATTCAAGGATCGCAAGGACGGCAGCTGCGATGTCTCCTATAAGGTGACCGAGCCTGGAGAGTATCGTGTGGGTCTTAAGTTTAACGACCGCCACATCCCAGACTCGCCATTCAAGGTCTACATCTCGCCCGATGCCGGCGATGCCCACAAGCTGGAGGTGCAGCAATTCCCACAGGGCAACATCCAGGCCGATGCGCCCTACCAGTTTATGGTGCGCAAGAACGGCGCCAAGGGTGAGCTGGATGCCAAGATTGTGGCTCCCTCGGGCACCGATGATGATTGCTTCATTCAGGTGATCGACGGTGAAATGTATTCGGTGCGTTTCTATCCACGTGAGAATGGCATCCATGCGATTCACGTTAAGTTCAATGGTGTCCACATACCCGACTCACCGTTCAGAATTAAGGTAGGCAAGGATGTGGCCGATCCGGCTGCCGTGCATGCCAGCGGCAATGGTCTGGACGACATCAAGACTGGCCACAAGGCCGATTTCATCATCAACACCTGCAATGCGGGCGTTGGCACACTGGCCGTTTCCATCGATGGTCCATCCAAGGTGGCCATGGACTGCACAGAAGTTGAGGAGGGCTACAAGGTGCGCTACACACCGCTGCTGCCGGGCGAGCACTACATCACGGTTAAATACAACAACATGCATATTGTGGGCTCACCCTTCAGGGTACATGCCACCGGCGACAAGCTGGCCGATGAGGGAGCCCAGGAAACGTCCACAGTTGTTGTGGAGACCGTCCAAAAGATCGCGAAGGGTGGCAAGAATACTGGCGTCCATCTGCCCAACTTCAAGTCCGATGCCAGCAAGGTGGTGTCCAAGGGAATGGGCTTGAAGAAGGCGTACATTGGCAAGCAGAATCAGTTCAGCATCTGCGCTACAGATGCGGGTGAGTAGAACAAGTTTTCCTTGTAAATCTTAGACCTTTCTCTAAGTACATCATTCGTTTTGTATCTAGGCAATAACATCTTGTACGTGGGCATGTACGGACCCAAGGGACCCTGCGAGGAGTTCCATGTGAAGCATGCTGGCCACAACAACTACAATGTGCAGTATCTGGTGCGCGATCGCGGACAGTATGTGCTCCTTATTAAATGGGGCGAAGACCATATACCCGGCTCCCCATTCCAGATCGATGTCTAGGCTAAGGCCAACAATCATAATAATACACATGCATAGATATACACCATCCCGCTCCAACCGTTCCCGAATGCATTGTGTACCAATCCAGTCTGTTCCAGGGTCCAAATCTTTTGTGTTTTCTTCATGATTGTCTTTGTTTAATTTTAATTCTTTGCCTATCATTATTATAAGTGATTATTATTTTTTGTTATTTGTACATAAAAAAGGAAATATAAATGTTTTCGACTTGAACAATGTTTGCGCGCCATTTTCACATATCAATTGATTTGTTTTTGTGTGAATAATTAAACTAAATAAATACAAAAATTAAATTCATTCAACTAATTGTCATTAACGATTTGATAAAATTAAAATTACACAGCAAATGTTTGAAAAAAAAGAAAAAACGCGAATAAATCTCTTAAACAATTATTTAATACTTAAGCAAACACTTATGAAGATGATTATTATGATTACGACGTATTATGTTTTTTTATTATCACTATCGACATGTAATTTACGTAAACTCAAATAAATAAATTTAAAAAAAATATATGGCGTACGATTTCTGCAGTAATATAAAATAGTAGTAGTAATAGATCTGAAATATTTATACATTACATTATAAAAACATAAAAAAAATATTACTTTTGCTATATAACTTTATCGATTCTAATGACAATTTGACACTAATTTGACAGGTGGCAAGGGGTTACACTACAATTACTGCAAAAAAGGTTGATTCTGAAATATGCAACTTCAAATTTGAATATGTCTAAACCAAAACGAGTCTAAGAAGGCATATAATTTGAAGATCCGAATTTATCTATCCAAGTTACAACAATTTAGTCTTTGAAAATACTTTTAAAATGAATAATTTAAGATTTAGCGCTCATGAAGCTAGCTTAATAAATAGCTAATGCCAGCATTTGATTTTATGTTTGAATACATTCAGTTCGTTAGTTTATTCAATTTAATTTGTTTCATTTGCATGATACAAATAATATTGTAGATTCTTCTCTTTGCCTCTATTAGCAGATCGTCGCTTAACATGTTCAGCTCCTTGGTAACAAATTTACCAAATTGTTCGGTTAGTTGTGATTTGCAGGTCGATTGGTTTGGACTTTGTTGTCCAACGTTTGGCTGCTCTATTAAGTCATCATGCAGCATCTCCAATTCTATGTCTTCTGGTTCTTTAAGCCTACTTCCGTCTAGAGCATTATCATTATGCTCTACTGTGCTGATGGTATGCGATTCAGACTCTTTACATTTTTTGGAAGGGGGCTCGTCCTCAATGCAATCAAGCGAAGTACGTTCATATTTCAAGCATGTTTTGGGATAGATAGGCATGCCCTCATCGAACCAATTAGAAGAGTCATCAAAATAACTAGAACTTTCACTGTTCTCCGAGTATTGATCAAACTGGGTGGCTTCTAATGCGCCCAAAAGTTCGGCCATTTTAGCATAATGAATCCACTCCGAATCGGAGCCCACGCTATCTCTCTCTTTGCTAAAAACCAAAAGTTTACTATTAGTTGGTCCACGGGATTTATACAATCAATGACCATCTTACCGGAATTTACGAGTTAACGATTCAATTTTTGCTTTGACATCAGAATATCTGATTTCAATTCCGTGACCATGGAACTCCAATTCCATGTCCTTATATACATGCGATTTTTTTCTATCGCCTCGCAGATCTCGAACGTACTTTTGCCACACTTCCAGGAATACTTGTTCTTCTTGCAGAATCCAATGTCTACGTCTTTGCTTCGGTTTTTCTAAAGTTGTGTTGGAAATATTCGATTCTGAAGCATTGGCATTATGTGCGCTACTGTATCGTTGTTCTGCTCTTCTTGGAAATGGTCCATCTGTTGACATGGTGGATGAGGAGGTTGTCTTAATGTCGTCGTCTTCAGTTTGGGAGTATTCTTCTTCATTAAAAAGCATTGGAGGCACCTCGTCGACATAGACCGAACTAAAAGTTTTATCTGGAAACGAAATAGATGTGTTTATATCTTAACGTTGCTAATATTTGATTTGAAAACTTACCGGAGCTTACTTCTGGCCTCTCAAACCGAATTTCTTTCATTTCTTCCTGATATTCCATAATAGCGACCATTTTGTCAAAGTTTTTCCATTGTTTCCTTGGTTTGTTTTCCCTTATAATACTGATATTTTGGTTATTATTTTTGCTCTTAAATAGCAATTCGCCTCATCGCGATCAGCCAACACTTACTGACAATATTTCCTTTTAAACGATTCCATTTTAGCCTTAATATGTGCCGCCGATATATCAATTCCCTGATTAATGAACTCGACTTCCAAGTCCCTATAAACTTCGGATCGTTTTTTTCCACAATGCAATGCACCCAGGTTACTGTACCAGATGCGCAAAAATCTATCCTCTTCCGAGGGCGTCCAGCACCTTCGCTTGCCGCTCACTACAAGCATAATTAATATTTAAGCACTATATAAGTTAATTGCAGCATGTACTTACTTTAAAATGTTTTAAAATAGTTGTTTAATTTAAAACTTTTGTTTGTTGCGAATTGTAGCTTCCACCCAAGCATTAGAATCAAAACAATGCATAAAATGTTAACAAGGTTCCTATGCCAGCGTTGCATTCTGTAGCTGATACGACACAAACTCAAATGTCACGGTCTGGAGTAAATAAATGCCGCTCTCTGACGTCACACACAAGTTCAATTTGGATTTTGTATTTTTCATGTACCATGAAAAGTTACACTAGCAGCAGCTGAACGCGGCGTTGCCACGTTGTTAAAATTTGTAAACTTATTAATTTTAAATATTAACATTATATATTTTTATTTGTTTCGATCAATTTGTAGCATTTTTGCATCGCACAAGATGTTGAATATTTTTCTTTTGGAATCAACACGAATGTCTTCGTCCAAGCCATTCAACTCCTTCGCCACAAGCTGGCCAAACTCATAGTCGTGATTTTTAAAGTATTTTTCGTCCAATACTGTAGAAGATACGCGACTTTGGTTAAGCTGACAGTCGTCATCGTTACGGGAATGGTCTAGCGACGTAATATTGGGAAAATAAGGCTCTATAACAAACTCTTCGGCGCAGCATTTGTCATTTTCGGCAAGCTTCATTGAATCACATTCCTCAATGTAAACGGAGTTAAAACTGGTATCTAAGGGACAAACAAACCAATTGCTCAATATAAGCAACATATTTATTTGACAGAAAGTTCGGCTTACGTTCGTTATAATCTGCATGGGCGCTATGAAGTCGGCTGACCATGCTTACATCCATTGAGTCCAGTATTTGACCCACCTTTGAGAAGTGAATCCACTTGGATGTCACATTTTTTGCTCGTTCGGCTCTACAGATAGAAATAAGCTTTTAGAATAATTTAGATTCAAATTAAGATAAGCTTTCTGCTCTTACCTGAACTTACGAACATAAGTATCTATTTTTGTTTTTATGTCCATTGTTTCAACGTAAAAACCACGATTTCTGAGGTCTTCTCGCATTTCTTTATAAACAATAGAATTCTTTTTGCTTCGCTTAAGTTGCTCGGCTCTTTTGCCCCACGAATCGAGGAAACAAATCTCTTCTGCCGGGGTCCATCTTTTCATCCTTCTTCTGCAGCTCCCAGATCGATCATTACCCATTATTTGCTCTTTAAGTTAGTCCTTTGGATTTTTTCTTATTAAATTACAGCGGTTCAATCTGGATATATTTGTAATAAAGTTGCCCAGAGTGACTGTTATTAACATGTGCAATTGTTGATTTCACAAGAATAGCAAAACCTAGGTTGCCTTTTAAATATAATTACTAGCAAGTCGTAGACATATAGTTTCTTATGCTGTTGGTCGTATGTTTTGAATTAATGCAAACCACACAACCAGCTCCAATCGTCAACAACAAACAGCTGATTGTAAACAGAACTCAGGCTAACAGAGCCGCAACAGAGCATGTTAACGCAGCCACAAAACTGTTATGTTCGTTTCGTTAAGTGGAAAATTAACGCATACTTGGCGCCTGAATTTCAAAAATGTACCACACTTAAAAAAAGTGTCGAAAAATATGATAATTAAAATTTAAGTAATTACAATCTTTATTTATTTCATTTTTTAGTTAAATATGCTTTAAAACTTATTTACATGGTTGTGCACTAAGCGAATACATTTAGTGTTAGGCATTACAAAATACATAATAGATAACTTCTACGTTAATAAGTTAAATATGTAGGTTTTACTTTCGCAATACTTTATACCTTGCGTTAAGGACACTCTTTTTTCGCACCCACCAACTAAGGCAGCATATTCCATCTATCATCCACCACTTGTAGTAGCAAAAATAAACTAAGATCTGTGCTCTTGGGCATTTTTCTCAAGTTCAATTGGTTTAATACAAGTTTCGAATATTTTTCTTTTTTTTTGGGTAACTTAGTGCTAAAGATCTTAGTAGTATAGTTTCAATTGTTTCTGTTTTTATTTTTTTTTCTTTTCTTTTTTATATTATATGACAGTAACATACGTAAGTGTTAAGATTTTACCCAAGCAGCATTAGGAAGCGTGCTAAATAAAAATTAAATATTTTAACTTTTTCCAAACGGAATGAGGTGATGGCTATTGTTCTGATAATGCAAATAAACTCTATTCTTAACCTTTTTTTTACCATTGTGATCGCGCTTGTTGTTTTTTTTTTTTTTTTAAATAGGAACGATACGAAAAAAAATCAAAATAAATTACAGTATATGAAGCAAACGAACGACTGACTTATAAAATAAATAAATATACAAAATACACTTGCAAAAAGTATAATAGGTTTTTAATCTTAACTAAGTTTGCTAACTTACAAGTTTATATCACTTTTCGCAAATAATTCGTTTTTTTTCTTTTAATAAATTAAATTATATTGAGGCTGTTGAATAATAAAGTCGCGTTTGATTTTCCTTTCTTTCTGTTTTTGGTTGAAAAGCTGCAAAACTAAGTATAAGTTATGTTGCTTAAAAGATGTTGATCTGGAACTCGCTGACAATGCCCTCGAGGAAACCTTTGAGATTGTCATAAGAGTGGGTGCGCCAATAGATATTATCATTGACCTGCTCCATGGCCAAGCCAATAGCTAATTCTACGGCCTTCAGGCCCAATTTGCGGCAATTGGCGGTCAATGCCTGCAGCTGCTGTTTGTGATAGTCCTTGTTCATGTAGATGGTCAGGGATTTGATCATCTCGGATATGGTGGAGAAGCCATCGCCATAGCTACAAATGGAGTTTATGCTTAAGCTAGGTAAAGTATAATAATAAGCAGGAACACTCACTAGTCCGCAATTTCCTTGATATTGGTCTGCAAAAAATCAAATGCAATCTCATAGCCAATCGCATTGGAGGCCACAGCTCGGAAAGCCAAGGCGCCATCCTGTTTCAGGATGCCCGACGTCGAATTGATAGTCAAATTTAGATATCTGTGCGAGAGTAGTACAGCATTATTTAGAGATCAAGGAGCTTATCATCTAATTTTATAATATCCTTAAATATCTCATAGTCGAGAATAAAGCACAACTTACTTGGACAGCAGCCAGGGCTTGGTGGTGCAGCCGAGCGATGTGAGTATCTCCTCCTTTTCCGAGGCGCTATTCGTCCGTTTGTACTGCTTGTAGGCAAAGTACCATTCTTGATAGGAACCCTCCGCCAACGCCGTGCAATATATAACCGATTTCAGATTGGGCTTGATGCTGTGCCAGAAATTAAGTTTATCTATGGATATATCTCGCTAACGGAGTAGAGTCTACTCACGGATTCTTTTTGGCATCGCGCATCCATTCGCGGAACTTCATTTGGGCCACCTGTGTGCAGCGATCGTAGTTGAATTTGCAGGCGAAATTGGCCACCAGAGCCCGATGCTTAAGCTGCAGGTGCGACTCATTGTCTGGCTCATTGAGACCATAATGATCGAAGGCGGGGCGCACTATGAACTTCATAAAGGCCTAGAGGAAAAAGAAAGAAGTTGAGTATAAGCGCCAAAAAGATTGTAGCTACGATCAGAGAAAAGCTAGTTTCAAGATTTTATTAATATATTTACTTGACCTAATGCAAAGTTTTTTTTCTTCCTGTAGAAGTTCAGACTTACCCTGAAGGTCTCATAGGCCGGCTCCCGCTTCAGATTGTAGATGAGATAGTTGAGACCCGGCTTGGCTGCGCTCCATAGCAGCTCATCGTCCACGGCTGTGAATAGCTCCATTAAGAAAGTCAAGCTGCAAGTGCGTATAGTTAAATCAGGAATGCTGGAACGTGACAGGTATATAGCTTACGGTATATCGTATGGCAGATACTCCGCCTGCGACAGATGCAGTGCATCGTCCAGCAGCTGGGCGCGTGTGATGCGTGGCAGTGTGCTGAAGTTTTTCTTCAGTGCCAGCCAGGAAGTCAGGTCGTAGTTGACGCGATAGTAGCTCTGCCTGTTCAGGTTCAAATAGACAACGTTGTCGCTATTGTCCTGCTTGGTGAACACATCGCTGATCACCAGCTGCTCCTGCTCCTGGGTCATCCAGTGTGTGGGTATATTATCGCCCTTGTGCAGCTCATCCGTCTCGTAGGTGATGGGTATGAACCAGTGGCTGTGATCCAACGGATTTCGTGCGGGCAACAAATAACGCTCCTGACGCAGCACCAAATCGGCACCATTACGCTCCACATGCACCACCGGGTAGCCGGGTTGTGTTATCCAGGAGTCCATGATCTGCTTGACATTCATGCTCTTGGGCAGGGTGCCCTTGGCGTGGCCATGACGCGTGAGGAACGCCCAGAGATCATCGCGATTCATGTTCTCGTAGGCAAATGTCTGCAGCAGATCCTGTGTGGCTGCACGGAACGCCTCATCGCCCACAATGGAGTTCAGCATGCGTAGCAATATTGTGCCCTTGGAGTAGCTAATAGGATCAAAGATGCGGCGCACATCGTTGGTGGTCTTCACATCGAAGGAAATGGCATGGGAAGTGTTGGCCGCATCATGTTGCATAGATTCCTTGAATTCCTGCATATTCGAATCAAATGTTGAAAGTTGCAAAACTGGTGACTCTTTGGAAGGGTATCACTTACAAGCACTGTGAACGTATCCATAATCTGGAACTCGGGATGCACTTGGTTCAGCGCCTTGTAGCTCATGTAGCAGGCAAAGCCCTCCTTCAGCCAGAGATCATCCCACCATTTGGGCGTGACCAGATTGCCAAACCATTGATGGGCCAGCTCATGGGCTATGATCTGTGCCACGTACTGCATGTGCTCCGACGAGGAGGCCAGCTCCTGATCCTCTGGCACCAGCAGCGCAGAGTCACGGAAGGTAATAAGACCCCAGTTCTCCATGGCGCCAAAACCAAAGTCCGGCACCGAAACGAGATCGATCTTGGGCAGCTTGTTCTTGATGCCAAAGTATTCCTCGTAATATGGCAGGAACTTGCGAACCATCTTATAGGCATAGTGGGTCATGTCCACAAAAGTGGGTCGTGTCCAAATCTCCACGCGCGGCACAAGGCTGCCATCGAGATCGGCAAAGCGTGAGTCAATCATGTTGGACACGATGAAGGCCAACAGATAGGTTGGCATTTTGGGCGTGGTCATGAAATCATCGCGTATAAAGCCGGGGCGATGGGGGCTGTGGAACAAAAGGATGTTATAAGTTATGTTTATTTTACTGTTACTAAGACTGTAAGTTTTATTTAATTTTAAAATAAGCAATATTTATGTATTAAGACACATAAGTTAATATTGTTTTACGTTTGAGATGATTACAAAATATTTGTTGGATACTCTTAATAGATTAAATAAGTTTAATAAAGTAATTTAAATTCAGATTATCCAAACGTTAAAGGTCATGCTATAAATAATTATAAGTTACTTAAAGCAAGTAAAGCCACTTCTACAGTACTTTTCTCCCTGATTAACTTGATTCGAATAAAAGCTTCAAAGTCCTTCTCTTGACATAGGTATAGTAGTAAGGAATGCTCACCTGCTGCGTGCCTTGGGCATGTTTGACAAGCACATGGTCTTCTTAACGTCTCGAATGATGCTTATGGTGAAGTTGGCCTTCATATCGGGGCGATCAAAGCAGGGAAAGGCACGACGCGCATCAATCGGCGAGAACTGGGTGCTAATAACCCATCTGAGAGAAAGAGAGCAAGCATTGAGGATCTTTCGCAATATTCAACACAATTCACATTACTTACTGCAACTGCTTGGTCTCTGGATTGGTGTAGCTGGTCTTGTAGATGCCCTGCAGCGTATCCGTCACCTGACTGACAAAGTCCAGGCTCAGCCACAGACGTAGTTTGGACTCCGTCGCCAAATCCTTGGCCAGTCTAACTACAAACGTGGCATTGTTATCCCCGTAGTCGCTGTCAAAGTCCAGTTCCACCTCCTCGCTAGCGTTGGCAATGGGAGCTCGTATGACTCGCACATTCGATATGGTGACATTGTACACATCCAGGACAATCGGCTCCCAGCTGGTCACCTTGGCGTCTCGTTCGATTTCGATGGTAACGCTGCCATTGCTGGCGGACGACTCAATATTTGGCTCAATGACAATTCTGTAAAAAGGCAGGAAGTCAAAAGGTTTTGGGTAAGTCATTAGCCAACCATTTTAGTGCAGGTGCAAATAGTTGTAATCACTGCCAAAAATGACAAGGGGCTTCAATCAAAAGTGCCAATCAATCAGCGCAGCAGCGCATGTGATTGATCAGCAGCTGCGGGTCAGCCAATTGACTAGCTGCGTCGCAGAACTGGCGTCTGAACTGGCTATTAGAAAGGGGCTAAAATGAAATTGCATGCCATAAAACGCAAGAATAGCAAATACCAAGAATGAGCGGGCTTTAACGAGAACCCAATGCTCTACAGGCGAGTTTATTTTAAGAGCAACTTGCAACTATAAAATGTAGCTGATAAAATAGGCTGCAAGTCGGTTCGAAACTGGAATTTCGATGTATCCCTGTAAGTTTATTTTTAGCAGCTATAAAAGAAGCTGCTAAAGCATGCTGCATATTGGTTCGAAGCTTGAATTTCAGTTATTCCCTGCTATAAACCAATAAATGTAATGAAGGTGCGAACTACTGACGATTTGGCTTTGGGTTTGCAGTCATGTTAACTTGCCTGACAAAGTTGTGATAAATTTTCTTTGATAAGAATAAACTTTCCTGCATAGTTTTCTTTAGACTTGAACTGTACTAGTGCTAGGGTATAAGATTGAAAAATAATGAGCACTAATCAAGCTCAAAGGCAATCTCGAGCCCTGATTAGGTCTTGCAGTTTTGCTGTTAGCTTGGCTGCTAAAGTATCGGTTTACCCAGCCAGGGTAAGGGTATAAGATGGAAGAACAATTTTCCCCCCGGCGCATATGTGCAGAACATGCCATTGGCAAGAGCTGGTCGCCAGATGCAGTCGCTGTGGTGTCTTCTGCGCCTAGTGGCTTTTAATTGCGGCGATCGGTTTACAATGTGTTTGCGCCGGGGGCAACCAGGAAGCGTGTTCAGCGCAATTTGCCACGGACAGACGGACGTTTGCTTTGATCAACAGCTGCAAAATCAGTTAACATCGATTCCGTACTGAGCACCAATAGCCTCATCCATCGATGGCCAACTCTCCAACTGCTCCAGCTGCGTGCCAGCCTCAAATTGAGCGAACGTCTTGGTGTTTCTTTTAATTTTTTTTTCTGTGTCAATTATATTAATGCATGCGGCATTAGCTACTGAGGCAGCATCTTCCATCGCACACAGCTCACATCTCGCATCTACAATCTACCAATGCTCTGGCTATCTAACTAGCCGGGCAACCCATCTGGCGTGCTGACAGTTGGCGTGCGTGCTGTGCAAAGATCTGCCTCGGATCTGCCTCAGATCTGACACAGCTCTGCCTTAGCTCTGCCTCAGATCTTTGCCGCCTTTGGGGTATGGGGCAAGCAGTTCCGCGTGAGGTTGGCTCAACTAGCTGACTGGAAGTCGCATATTTGGTCAGCTCCTGCGGTGTTCGATTGTTAAACAAGTTGTTATATGTCTGCATTAGCCGACTTGGCCGTGGATATGTGTTTAGCCTAAGTGCCAACTGGTCATGTCAACAGGCGCACAGTTGGCGACGCGGCGCAATCCTTGACCCACTTTGCGGGCGTGCATCGTACATCGGGCATAAACAAAAAGTCTCAGAAAACTCTTTGGTATGACGTCAATAAATGTGCTAGGATATGCACAATGGAGTACACGACATGGGGTCAAGGGTTCAACAATTGTTGTCCAGTTGTTGGCAGTTGTTTGAATCAGAACTCACTTCTGTGTTGTGTTTGCTTTTGAAACACTTTACAACACGCCGTGTTCGTGCTAAGAAATTGACTTTCGTGTATCTTCGTGCGTGTCCATTCTGAGCACGACAACAGCAGTAGGGAGGGGTGCCGTGGCATGACTCAACAAGAGTTTACTAGAATCAAACTTTAATCGAATTTGAATCTATCGAAATTATTCATAGCAGGACTCCGCTCCAAAAGGGGTTCTCTCGCTGCCCAAGTGAAGAGCTGTAGGCTGTCTCTGATATCGACACGAACTTTTATACAGAGATAGCCGATATGGGTAGATGTACCCAACTCTTGGGGCTGACCAATATGTATACTTTAAATAGTTGAAGATGTCTCTTTCTGCCCCTTGCATACATTCATAATAAGCTATTGTTTTGAAATGATTCTCTTTCATCACTAATAAAAAGAAATTAATTTTTAACAAATACAAGCGCGCTTTCACTGGCTGTTCGATGCACAGACCACTAAGCCACATAGGAAAATAACATCAGATTGTCTATGCACTCAATTATAGGCAGCATTGTAGATGAATATTTTAAATACACTCCAATGTTGACCCCGATTTTCCCCCACTGAGAGTCTAATTTATATGAAGCCTGTTTAAGTTATCCCTTTCCCCTTCTGTTCAAAGCTGCCAAGCCCCTATAGTTTAGACTGTGCATTGGACATTGCGTCAATCAATCAATCAGTCTTATATGTGTAGATATACTACGAATTTATGAATTTTTCCAAAATATTCGTTTAACCTTTACATCAATCAGTCAATCAGTTTGTTAGTCACATATTTATATATCTATATATAAAGTAGTGGTGTAGTCAATCAATCAATCAAGATTTAAGATTTGAAACACTTAGGCGATGATTTGATCACTAATCAATGCGTTAACGCAAAAGACTGTGCATTGGTCATCAGTCATTCAATCAATTAATCAGTAGGTCAATCACATATGTATGTGTAGATGGACAATCTAATAAGAACTTAAATACTTTAACACATTGGTCAGTCAAGCAAGTCAGTCACATAAGAAGATATATTAATAAGTTAAATACTTTGAAAGCATTGTTGAGATTACCATTGGCTATCGGTCAATCAGTCAATCAATCAATTAAGCAGACTGTCAGTCACATATGTAGATATACTAAGAATTTAAATATTTTAAAAACATCTCTTGCTATAAAATTCCGACACGCGCCCAACTCCAATCTTATGATAATCTGTTATCGTTATGTAAATCCAACTAGATAGATTCAGATTCGTGGAAGACTCAACGCTAATTGCCAGCAGTGTGAGCCGGAAATGGCAGAGACAACAAATCTCCACAAGCAATTTATGCCAACTTGTCCATCAGGCCGCACACTTTGCGTGGCTTCCAATTGAAATGCGGGCATGCAAAGCAATTTAAGGTGGAACAGCGCGCGTGTGGACGCAATTGAAGCCATTATTCAATTTGAGGCTGAAGTGCAAGATTGAATAGTTCCCCAATAGACACCCCATATCCCCCCATCCCCTTTGCTCACCTGTAGTGTAGTGGACGCCAGCCCTCAAACAGTTGCAGGGGGCGTTCCACAGACTTTGCTTGGGTTTCCAGCGTCTCCTCTGGCTGGGCTATGTCACCCACGGGCGGCACCACCACGGGCAGCTCTGGCTTTGAAGTTGTGGGTTTCTTCTTCTGCTGCAGCCAATCGGGTATATCGAACTTGGCACTCGCCAAGGGCGTTGCATTCGCGTGCGAATCGCTCGTTGCATCGTTTTCATGACTCTGCGAGTCCTTGGAGTGGGCCTGGGCGCTGTGTTGGAATAGAAACAAAAAATGTGTTTTATGCAAAGTGCTTAATTGTATTTGTTTAATGGCGCGCCCTGTGTCCAAACAGCTTCTTTGACCCTTCCGCACCTTGAAATGCGTCAGAGGAAACGAGCCAATTGCTTTCGCTTTCAAGACGGACCTGAAATGAGGTCACTTCCGTCTCGACTGTCCACAGTCAATTAGCTCGTTTGCCAAAACGCATTACGAGAATGCAAAACAAAAAACTAAATACAGAGTATAAAAACGGCAACAAATTAATAATGATGCCACACCCACAAGCCACAACTGGCTTAGATTTGTGTAGCTGTTAACTGGGCGCTTACTCACCTGGGGCTGGGCACAATCGCGGGCAGGCTCTGAGAGGTAAGGAAGTAGGTGATAAGCACAGAGGATATTAGAGCTGCCACCATTATGAATGCCGAAATGACCAGGCAGGTCCTGGACACATAAACACCCGATGGTGGCCCATTAAAAACGTATTTCTGTCCATTCTTGGTCTTAAGCTGACCACCTGTCAAAGAGAGAGACAATAGAAGAGGGAGAGTTAGAAAAATGTAGGCAAATTTCAATTGCCTCAATTAATAGGCCGCGTTTATCGCGCTGGCTGAAAACTTTATGTTTTGTCCAAGCGTTTCAATATTCTTTCTATACTCTTGCTATTGTATTTTTGTCACCAATTGTGTAATGCACAGATGGAGGTGCCATCATATGGCAAAGAAATGATTCCATTTCAAATGTTTAAACATTGATATTTTGGCGATTTATAAGGGTTATTTAATTATATAAAAAAATTTGATCAAACTATACATATCTTAACCAAATATTTTTTATTATATTAAATACATACTGTTTTAAAAAATATGAATTCCTAACCTCCAAATATATTCTAGTCTGTGCGCATCTGTCCTGTTAATGGGTTGCATTATCTGTAGGGCATCATCCAGCAAAAAAAGTTATGGTTTGATTTTTGCCGCTAAGCTTTTCAGCAAAGACAAATCGGCACGCATTTGAAACCATTGCACAAGACATTGGGTAATAAACATATATATTTATTATATATTAATTACTCAATGTCTACAAACAAAGACAGCAAGAGAGCACAAAAGTTTTTCTTAAGAAGGTGAGCGCGCACTTATTTATATACATACTTATGCACATACGTATACATATCTATTTATTTACTTAAATTAAATATGGTACTGTTTGAAATTAGCAACTCCCTTTATCTTTCCAAAGTGCATTAAAATAATATATTTTATTTTAGATTTGATAAGAAATTTGTAACCCACCCCATTCCCTGAAATATATATTACCTATAATCGGCTGTGTTTGTCTGTCTATCAGTCATATGCGTGATTGTATATTTATATGGAAACTAGTTTTTAATTTTTTTTATGTGCACTAGAAAGTGTTCATAGATCCCCTAAAGGCATGTGCATATGACATTCCTGGCATGCCGATGCATTATGAAGTGCTTAAAGAAAATAAACTATGCACTTTGGCGCAGTATTTTCCATGCAAGACATGTAAACCGATTGCATGCATCAAAATGATATATAGCATAATTTGGCCAATATGTGAATGAAGGAAATTGAATGTAAACGGGCCATTTAGCTAGGTGTTGACAGCGCCATGAATGCGCCTCGGAATGATCCCGCGGCGTTAGCAAGAGGTCTCCGAGGTAGCCAAAGATCATTAAACTCAATGTTGAAAACTGAATTCGTAAATGGCGAAAACATGAGTGAAAATTAATGTATGGCTCATTTTTAAGGCCGGAACATTTGAAGAAAGACGAAAGAGTCAGCAAGTGGGCTATGCATAAGCAAATAGCAATGACAGTGCTGCACAAAAGTCTGTTCACACTTTGATAAGATAGCCAAATAGCGGGTTAGAATAAACCAAGAATGTCTCACATGATTGTGGAGCTTTTTACAATGTATCATTAAATTTGAACATCAAATACACTTAAAGAAAAATCCTTAATTCATCTTTGATAACAGACTTGTTAATTTCTAATTACAGTACGAAATCTAAGAATTTTCGACTATCAATGGGAATTCATCAATTATAATAGTACTTGTTTTAAATATTGTATACCTTATTAATAAAACTTTGGTAATATTTATAGTCCATTTTAATACATAGTATTTTTCTGAACGAAATGTGTTTGAAATATATGGAACAAAACAAAAGAAATTCTTTTAAGTTTCTCTCAGTGTAATCGTTATCTATGATAAACTAGTGAAAATCAAGATGAGATAAATATTATTTAGGGCACTTCTCTAAATATTACTGAATGAACTGTCTGAAGATATTTCATTGAGTAGATTGTCGTAAGATCTTTTATAATACATCTCAAAAAAGTTGACTTACTGACTGCTCAACGCGTGACTACAAATTCGTGAAAAATAATTGTTATACATCACGAGATTATTTGACGTATAATCTCATTATTTGCCATTCTTCGCTGATCTTCTGTTGTTGCTTAACTTTTCTTGCCCACTGTTTGCCATAACAACTACCTCTGGACATGACCAATGAACGCGAGCAGCAGAGACGCACGTGTTCAGCATTTTCAATTACCGATTAGCATGATCCCAACAAACTGTGTGGTTGTTGGACTTTGGCTATAATGGGCCTCCTCCACCGCTGGGCGTTTTATGACGTGTTGGACAAAGAGTGAAGGAGAGTGATGGCAGCAGTGGTTCAGAGGAAGAGTGAGAGAGTGGGAGAGAGGGGCTTGACCATCAAATTTAAGTGGCAGTGACTTTTTGGGTATACATGTTAGTTTTAATTAAATTGCAAAAATGGGGTTAACAATGTGAACGTAAAGGCCAACAAAACTTTCCACCTGTTTCGGGAATAGCTGTGGTTCATCTATTTGGGGCCCAACATCTGCTGGCCGCAACCACCAGCAGCCGCAGCAGCACACCCACCGGCTTTGATCTCTGTCTCTCTCTTTCGTGCCACAATTTGATGGAATTTATGTTGCAGCCACATACAACATTTTGTGGTAGCCACCAAATTAAAACCGACACGAGTCGCCGCTGCAAGTTGATGTAGCTCATGTTAAATGCAGCGGATAAATCAGTTGTCAGGAATTGTAACTCACGCTGAAAGCTTTTCAAAAGTATTTTCTTCCAATTTTTAGTTTTTATTTATTGTTTGTTTGGATTTGAGTTTTTTTTGCTCCTGATGGTTAGGTGAGAAACGATTGAAGAATTTCATTAAAAGCGTACAAAACACATGCTGCGTCCCACGTGTTCATTAAGCAGCAGACAATTTGAACGCTCCTACTCCAGCCGAACCTGACATTATATATATATATGTATATAAAGTATATGTGCATATGCATATTAATATGCACAAGTCGAAGTTTAAATAGCATTAAAAGACAATAAAAACATTTGAATTAAGTTGTGAATGAGAGGAAATGTTGTTGGTGTGTGTGCGTGTGTGTGCCTGTGTGTGTGGGCGTTGTGCGTGAGGCGCCAGTTTCATTGGGGAACTATAACGCCTACGAGTCGTAGTCTGGAGCTCGGCATTAAGCTGGCGACATTGAAATTAATTCGGGAATTTCGAGCTCGTAAAAATTCTCACAGAATGGTTAATCAAAATGTCAAATGGGGTTAATTAAAAACCGGCTGGCCACAGGCAGGTATTACGTTCTAAAACTTAATTATTTATAAAATTTTGAAACATACCCAAAAATCTGTCCTTTGATATAAAATCGAAATGTAAACGTTTTCGAATATTTTTTGAATCGTCAAACTTTAAATTACGCAATTTCGTAACAAGTCCATGAAACGGGCGACCAGCTGCCACGCCCAAAGCTGGCGTTGTGGATGAATCGGATGATGAGCTTTTTGGTGGTGCTGATGGCGATGCTGATGCGGATGATGGAGCAGGAGCTACCTCTATGGCGGTACTAGCGTTCGCTGTTGTTGTTGGCGCATAGATTGATGAATTTTGCAAGTTGGGATAGGATATGATGGCTGTAAAGAAGCGCGAGAAAAAACCAGAGAGCGAGCCGGAGAGAGACAGAGAGAAAGAAAGAGAGAGAGAAAATGCGAAAATTTTGAGCAACATGAGTAAAAGCCAGGTGAATGTTTTTTTTTTTTTTTGTAATGTGTGATGCGTTCTCTTAAGCGTATAATCAACATTTAATTAATGAAAAACATGCAATGAAATTAAAAGCAAATTTGAAGTAAGAATGTGTATGCGTGTGTGTGTGTGTGTGTGTGGTCGTGTGTGTGTCGCTGATGCCGAATCGATGCCCAATGAACAGTCGCAACAATTGAAATGCATTTAATCAAATTGACGCAGCTGTGAGCTGTGGGGTGGACAAAGGGGCTCGGTAGCTGCGCGAGGGCGGAAAGGAAGCCATACACTGGCACGTGTCGCAGCGAGGGGCTTGCTCGTGTTCTTGTGGTTGTTGTTGTTGTTGCAGTTGCAAGTGATCGCTTTATTTACAACAACAGCAACAACAACAACAATAGGCACAACGAAACGAGTTCAATTGCCGGCGCCAAATGTTTAAATGTTTCCACTCACATGTTGCTAAAAATACGCAATCTATGCGAATAATTCAACACAATTCACACAATGTTTATAAGTACTCGCCCACAGCTATATATAGAGCACTGCCTGCAGCACCCGAGTGTGCGGACTTTACCGCACAAATCAATGGGCAGCTATAAATAGTATTTAGGAATTTCGCTATTTGATTTTTATTATTATAATTTTTTTTCTTTTTTTTTTTTGCTGCTCAGCAACTATAAACTAAGAATAAAAGTAATACGTTTATGGACCAATTTTGAAATGGTTCGATTATTTCAAATGCCTAAAGCTGCAAAATGAGAAAAAAAAGCGAGACTAAAAGTTGCAGTCGGGAGTACCCGATTTAATTAAAAAATATCCATTTGCCTCGCCCATAGGATACCAAACCTTTCTATCGATCCTTAGGGAAGGCACTTCTAAAAAAGTCTGCATTTAAAAATGGGAGACTCCAGCTCTTAAATTGTTTAAGATATACATTATTTCGATTTGCCACGCCCACACTGAGCATAGCCAAATATACTAAGCACTTTGCCTGATGCGGATATGTACGAGTATCAATTTCAAATCTCTATCTCGAACCTATATACCCATTTTACTTTGTTAACGGGCATAAGACTGTGCTCGCATTTTAAATACTTCGAATACTAAGACTCCCTCTCGGGAAGTTTGAAACCACAAAATGATTCATCGATCTGTTGGGCAGGCAAATTGTAACCGAATGCCTTCCCAGCTACTCCGATTCGCCATTCATTAAGAAGTTCTGCGGCTCATAAAACTGAAATGCTTTTTGCTCTTTGCATTTTGCGCACATACAAAAGATCGTTTTACCAGCAGAGTGAGATGGAGTTAGGGGTTAGGCAGTGAAAGGGTGAGAGAGCGAGAGAGGGAGTATACGGTGCCATATCGTTCTGACTCAATCATGCGTTAAATTTTCGAGCGTTTTATGGCGACGTTTCTATGGGCAAATGAACTAGAGTTCAATAACAGCAAAAACGGCAACCCATTAAATAACCAAGTGCCTTCAGTCGAGTGTGTTCGACCAACAGATTCCCTATAATGTTCGTAATAAGATATTTATTGAATGCTCGCGATCTTCTCGCAGTGTGTGCAGAGATTTATGACCCTTTAAAATTTGTTATGCTTCTTTAATCTATGAGATACGCTCGTTAAAACATGTTTCGATCGATATATATGTGACTAGAAACAAGTATACCCTATTTAACACTCATTTTTAATGAGTACAGGGTACACTAAAATGTTCGACTTTGATCTTGAATAGTTCCGAAAACTTACTAATCGTAAAATAGATGTAAATCGATTAACAAGCAGCCAGATAAATAGTATATCTTCCTGTGAATGGCCAACGTCTAAGGTCTTAACAAGTCTGTTTTGTTTTTAGCCAACTGGAATTAAATGGAATTTATGTGCGCACAGATAACGCGTCGTATGCGCAACTCTGTCTAGAAAATTCGCAAAGATAAGCGAACTCCAGACCCAAAACTAAACGCAGAACTAGGAAGTCGATAAAAATAAAATGTGCTTTCCATAGAAAAAAAGCAGTTCTTTTCGGCTGCAACAAATGGTTTGTTGTGAAAGACCCCCGAGAGCTGATAGCGTGTACAATATGTTATCGGCTGTTTATGTTACCTATACGCATAGGGCGGAAAGAGTTGTATTTACGTCATTGTGAACTGTTTGAGGGCGGCTTTCCACTGCACCAGAAATTGTAGCCCAATTGTTGCGTTTATCTTATCGCTACCATCGAAATCACAGAAATAACAGACAATCGCTGCTTTTTAGGCTGCTTTTTCGTTAATTGTTGCATGCGTGCCTCTTTCACTTCCCGTACCCATGCCCAATTCAGCATGCTCAACACCTCGTTTAATGATAACCCATATTGGAAATGAGAAGTGTGTTAATTGGGCCAACAAATGGGTTATTTAAACAATTTCTGTTTGCTGTTCTGTTTACAAGTGAATTTCTTTCTTCCACTCGTTGGGTGATGGCTCTGGTCAGATTTATGAGTCACACCAAGATGCCATGTTCTGATAGTTCCGTCGCTTGATTAACTTCTTTTTCTGATTTTCTCTTCTTCTCCCTCTTTGTTGGAACGGGTCGCCCTATTAAAGCCCGCCATATGTTCGGGATCTGTTTGCAGCATTTACATTTCGTATTCGCAGCCTGTGATTTAATTGCTCACTGACCCAATTCCGGCCCTGGTTGAGCAGCTCTTCAGGAAGTGAAAGAATAACAAGTCAGTACCGTTGCAGTCGGGTGCAAATGCCTGTGCCATACTCTGCGCAAAGTGGACCAACAGCTTAAATCAGTCTTGATTACACTGTGCAACAATTCTAGACTTTTTTTTGATTACTCCCTTGCTATACTAAAGTCAGTTTTATTCTCCTCTAAATTGTTCCTTAATTTCAGTTTTGAAGCGAAACAAATATACTCTTTTTCACTTTGAGAACAGTGTATACAAAAAAGAAGCTGACAATTTTTTGCATTAATTACAAGCGGTTGACAGATGTTGAAGATGTGACAAGGCATATTTGCAACAGATAAAAGCCAAGGCTATGTGTCTTCGAATTTCCACAGAAATGTGGACAAGTGACGGTACCCCTACTCCAAAATATAGGTCAACTGAATGCGTACAGTAAGTACACTTAGTTTCCAATCCAAACACAAATAAAGCTGGCTAATTAAAATGTTATTAAAAATATTCACAGTTTGAACACGCAGCCAAATTGTCTGACAATACAACAATCTAACAATAGTAACAAGAGGAAGCATCACAATTATATCAAGTTCGAGGTTGCCCGACTTGGAGATACCGTGAGCTCATCGCCGAGCTGTTGTTACAGACACCTTAACTTTCTTCTATACATACAAACACATAAAAAACGCACTTATGCACACATACACACACACATCGTAAGGTGCACACTGTGCTTCTACTTACCTTTAACCCACACTACGTTTGGGAAATGCATTATTTGTTAACTAAGACGTTAATTATCAAATCCTTCTGAAATTTTTAGGGCTTAAATATGGCAAGCAAAAGTGTGGATATATCAAAGTGCAATGCTCTACTTTTAAAAACGACGTTTCTTCAATTTCGGGGAGAATGAGAGAATTTCTTTTGAAACGTAGATATTACTAATCTGTGTATACTATGTGAGAATCTACATCTTATTTTCAAGTTTTGCTAAAATTCTCAAGTCTTAAGATCGATTTTTATCGATATTTTGGAAGTGTGTCAAGATATCGACAAAAAACGATAATCTACCCAATTTCTATGGGTTCAGGGTATAAGAACAATAATGTTTGTTGATTCTTCATGTTATTATTTTTTTGTTTCAACTGCGTTCCTGTAATTTGTTCAGCTGAATCGTTGAGTTCGTATATTTTGAAAGTAAAGAGCTAAAAGCCAAGCGCAAAGTTGACTGAACTTCGCAGAACGTGTTGGGAGTGTGTGTGTTTCTGGTAGTGGGCGTGTGTGTGTGTGTGTGTGTGTTTGCGTATGTGTGTCTGTTGAGCGCTACTATCCAAGTGCCGCCCGGTATTCAGTTATATTGCCCATATTGTTTTGCATGCCTCTAATGAAACGTTCAGCATTGCAATTACCGAGTGAAGGGCTCTTTAAAGTGCCATTGATTCACTGCATGTCCCGGGGGGCTTGGGTAGGGGCGGTTACTTGGAAGGTTCTGCGGAAATGTCACTCGATTTATGCATAGTTTTATACTCAATTATGCTGCACAAAATGTTGCATGTGCCGCGGCAATAAACAATTCATTTGTTGTGTCGCATCAAACTTGAAATCTAAACAAACTTTCAACTCGATAAAAGCAGAAGAAGCGAAAAAAAACACTACACTAGTTCATATTGTGGTCATGTTTTGTTATTTTTTTTTTGTTTCTTCTGGGTTTCAGTTTGCTTTAACGCTTCAAAAATTGTTTATTTCCAGGCCTCGGGACCAGGGCATTTTCTTTGATTGACGCCGACACAGCTTTATTTTTTTTTTCTTGGTTTCGCTTTCAGTTTTTCCATCTTCTATTTTTTTTATTTTGTTTTCTTTTTTTTTTGTAAATTCAGCAGAATTTGTTAATAATTTGATAGGGCAGAGAAACGAAAGTGAAGCAGTAGCCGAGCTGTTTCTTAAATATCAAATCTATTGTATAATCGATTAAGCTAAACGCGCGATTAGCATAACTCGCCAAAGTCTCTGTTATAGTTATTGATAATTTTTGGATAATATGATCCGAAAAACAGAAATTGAGCTGTGACGCAAGAAAACAATGCAGCTGATTATGCGAGTGGCTAATGAGAGGAGTCACAGATGAAGTCACATTTCCGGCGCAGACAAACTTGAAAACCAGTCGCATTATTTGCACTGCGCAACGGTAGCCGTGGTACATGCAGATGCCGAAATACATAC